AGGAGCAGCATCTGCCTCCATCACTTTCTCCTCTCTCCTCAAAATATGATGGCCAAAGCTGGCCCGAATGTCTGGAGGAAGGAAGCCCTCTTTCTCCTCCACCCGCTAGGTCACGCTCTCTGGCCGATGGCGTCCGCACTCCCGGGAACATTTTCTGGACAGCAAACTCAGCTCCTTGCATAACTTCTGTTCTGATGCAACTTGCATTCTTCTGGCACAGGCTGGAGTTGTGGCTCTTCCAAGAAAAGGAGGAGTGAGAGAGAGAGAGAGATCAGTGCCAGGACTTTAAAAGGACAGTGGCAGCTTCGCTTGGCACCTTTTCTGGTCATAAAAAGGCTGCCAGATCTGGGAAGCAAAGCAGGCTTAAAAGGGGGCACTGCCCAGATGTGAAAAATCATTTGGCACTCAAGGCGGGTTTTGTGGCTCTCCGCTGAGACTCTCCAGGAATGTCCTTTTTCTACGTCTCTTAGAGCAGGGGTAGGCAACCTTTTGGAGCCGGGGGCCGGGTTGCTGTCCCTCAGACAATTGGGGGGCCGAAGCACCAAAAATAAATACATAAATAAATAAAAAATAAAAATAAAAAAATAAAAAATATGCATGCACACTCTCTCAGCCCCAGAAAAGCCATGGCAAAACCCCTGTGGAGATTTTGCCAAGAAAACCCCAAGAACAAGTAATAACAACAATAATCAATATCATCATGGCAGGCGGCAGCCTGGGGCCGGTTCAAAGGCCTCGGGGGGCCGCATCCGGCCCCTGGGCTTTAGGTTGCCTACCCCTGTCTTAGAGTTTACCACATGGGAGGGATACCATGCAAAATCGGGATTTAAAACAGGAAAAACCCGCAAAAGCAGATTGATTTTCACACGACGTGGAGCAGTAACCCAGATAGAAAGTGGGCAGAAAGTGGGGGAAATCTGCAAAAGTGGATTGATTTTCACATAACGTGACATTAACCTGGATAGAAAAGTCAACAAAACGCAGTTCTTTTTTACTTTCGGAAAATCCAGAAAGTAAAAAGAAACATGTTTAGTCGACTTTCTGTCCAGCTTAATTGCTCATTCATCCCGATGTGTGTGAAAATCAACCCACATTTGCGTTTTTTTCCCCCCGGATTTTAAATCCCATTTCTGCACGGGATTTGGGGACTTTGCCCCAGTGTGATAAACTCCTTGGGATGCATCTGCATTGCAGAAATCATGCAGCTTGATGCCGCTTTAACTGCCTTGGCTCAGTGCTGTGGAATTCTGGGATTTGCAGTTTCTTTTTTTTTTTTTTAAAGATTTTATGTAACCTCTTAAAACATAAAAACAAATTTTAAAAAACCCATTGACAATGCTCATACATAGTTCCACAAAACAAAATAATAATAATAATATACATAAACAGTCACCATTCATCAGTAAACAAAATAACTGACATTCCACCCCACATATTACTAATATACCCTATTTCCCAAACTTACACAAAGCTATCTATTTTTTCATCTTTCAAAAGGCATGTTAATTTATCTAGTTCTGCCGTCTCTAATAGTTTTAAGAGCCAATCCTGTATCGAAGGAATTTTGTTTCCAATTCTGGACAATTAGGACTCTTGCTGCAGTTCTCATGTAATTCTGGGATTTGTAGTTTCGTGAGATATTTAGCCTTCTCCGTCAGATAATAATACAGTTTGACCCCTGCTTTAACTGCCATGGCTCCATGCTATGGAATACTGGGATTTGTGGTTTGTTGTGGCAAACTACAAATCCCAGTATTCCATAGCATGGAGCCATGACAGTTAAAGCGGTGTCAAACTGCATTATTTATGCAGTGTAGATGCAGCCCTAGGTGACTGAATGAGCAGTGAGCTTTTCAATAGGCCAGCTGCTCTGTTTAACATAAAAAATACCCATTTATTAAAACCAGAAGTGGTTTTCTGGCTACTACTGGTTTGGTTTTCTTTACTTTCTGGTTGCCCATGTGGCCCCCAGAAGCTCAGACAGTTCTCAGACTTGCCAAATTTGCCCATCTCTGCAATAAGGGAGCTTCAGGTAGGTCTGAGAGGGATTTCTTAATAGGTGGAGGGGTTAGCAATGATTCCCAGCTCAGCCATGAAACCCACCTTGGGCAAGTCACATGCTCTCAGCCTCAGGGGAAGGCAATGGCAAACCTCCTCTGACCAAATCCTGCCAAGAAAACCCCATGATAGAGGTTATGGCCTTAGGGTTGCCATAAGTTGGAAATGACTTGAAGACACACAAGAGTGGTTAGGTAGGCTGGGCAAGTCACACTCTCTCAGCCTCAGAGGATGGCAATGGCAAACCGCTTCTGAAGAAACTTACTAAGAAAATCCTATGATAGGTCTGCCTTAGGGTCACCACAACTTGGGAATGACTTGAAGGCACACAACGATAAGAAGAAGAGCAGTTAAATGTTTTCTGGATCCTGGCTGCAACCCTAATATAGACTTTCCTGGGAGTAAACTCCACTGAACACATCAGGATTTCGGAGTAAACAGATGTAGCCTTGGGCTGTCAAAGGCTCTACCTCTGGTTATGTAATCCACTCGTCCAAAGGATCCACCATACTCAAGTTTACTGTTGACAAACCTAGACTCCCTGGGAGTTGTGGTCCATAAAAGCACAACTGTTGAGCTCTGGCCCAGCATTTAATTCATTGTGATTCAGGGCTCCCCTAGCTGCCTCATACAGAATTCTGGGATTTCCAGTTTGTCCCCTGAAATGATCAGGCAAAATGGGACCATGGAGCCAGCTGTCAGGATTGTCTCTTAAGCCTTGAATACGTTGTTGTTGTTGTTGTTGTTGTTGTGTGCCTTCAAGTAATTTCCGACTTATGGCAACCCTAAGTGGAACCTATCCTGGGGTTTTCTTGGCAAGATTTGTTCAGAGGAGGTTTGCCATTGCCTTCCTCTGAAGCTGAGAGCATGTGACTTGCCCAAGGTCACCCAGTGGGTTTCCATGGCTGAGCTGGGAATCGAACCCTGATCTCCAGAGTTATAATCCAACACTCAAACCACTATGCCATGCTGTCTCTCTAATGATGAAATGATAATGAAGAACAGGTTGTTCTTCTGAACATGTGCAGAGGCGTTGTGTTTTTTTCACACTATTGCAAAACTGCAGACAACCTTGATCCTGAGGTTTCATGATTTGCAGGCAGGATGGGATTTCAGTCCTCACAATTTCTGTCGCCCTGCAATCCTGAAATTTTCCCTGGGCTCCACTTTCCAACTCCCATCTTCCACTCCTGCAAACAGTGTTGGGGGTGCTTTATTTGTGAGTTCCTGCATGGCAGGGGATTATAATGGGGTCTCTTCCAACTCTATGATTCTAAATCTACAGCTCCCTTTCTTGCTCCTAGGAACAAGACAAAGGTATTGTGTGCTGGCCCCGAAATCTTATCATCTGCAGTCCCTGCCCTTCCCTTTCCTTCCTGGAGTTTTTGGCCAGGATGTCCAAACAGAAGCCAAACAGCCGGAGACAGAAGAGAGCCAGGAAGGAGCTGGATCATCCTCAGGCCTCTCCCAGAACTTAATGTACCCCCAAAAAGATCAACATATAACTGGGGGGAGGCCCTCAATATTGGCAGGCAGGTTGTTATTCATTTTGCCTTCATATGTGTCTTTGCAAAGGGACTTTTCCCATCCAGCATCATTCAACTATCCTTAAATATTAAGACACTTACAAAAACATTGCACACTTAGGAGTGCCCTCCATGTGTTCAGTGCAGCTTGCTTGCAAGTTAGTGCGCATAGGATATAGACGGTAGGCAGCACCTACCTAGGAGGATTCAAGGACAATTGCTGTCTTAACATTTCTTGTCCAAAGGGACACTTTGAGAGTTAACTATGCAAAAGAAGTTGTACCATAAGCTTTCACAAATGTGGTCTACCTCCTCAGATGCATGGCTTAGTGCAGGGGTTGGCAACCTACGGCCCGTGGGCCGGGTGCAGCCCGTGGAAGCCTTGAGACTGGCACATGGCCGGTCCTGCCGCCGCCGCCACTGCCGCCGCGCATGCGCTGCTGCCACCGGTGCGCTGCGCGCAACCGTGAGCACCATTTTGGTGTCCAAAATGGCGCCCGCGCTCACGTGCACATGCGCACAGCAGCAGGCGCCATTTTGGAAGGCCCAACGGCGCTGGCACCGTCCGAATTCGCACGGCGCTGGTGCCGTTGGGCCTTCCCAAATGGCGGTCCACATTGTGCACATGCATGCGCGACGTGGGGCACCATTTTGGAACACCCAATGGCGCTGTGTGCATGCGCACACCGCCGTTGGGCGTTCCAAAATGGCGCCCCCCACGCGCGTGCCCATGTGCATGACATGAGTGTCATGCGCATGCGCGCGCGGAGGGAACAAGTGTGCGTGCACGCAAGCGCGCCCGCGCCCGCCCGGCCCCAGCACCATTTCCCCCCCAGCCCCCCAGCAAAAAAAAGTTGCCGACCCCTGGCTTAGTGCATAATCATTTATTATATTTCTTTAGGGAGAAAGTTCTGGAAGTTCAAGCTTTTCTTGTAGCTTGAATCCAGTGCTCAATCTCAGGAGCAGCTGAAAACACGCATGCTCCATCCTCAATATGACATCCCTTCAAATATTTAAAACATAGGGCATGATTTCCAAACTTTTCACCTTTTTTGGTCACCCTCCTCTGGAGATGCTCCAGCTTGTCAACATCCTTCTTGAATTGTGGCGCCCAGAACTAGACACAATATTCCAGATGAAGTCTGGCCAAAGCAGAATAAAGTGGCACTGTTACTTTCCTTGATCTAGAGACACTGCACTCCTGTTGATGCAGCCTAGGAGTGCATTGGCTTTTTTAGCTGCTGTATCACGCTGTTGGCTCATGTTTAACTTGTGGTCTACTAAGACTTCTAGATCCTTTTTGCATGTACTGCTGTCAAGCCAGGTGTCATCCACCCTGTTTCTGTGCTTTACATTTTTTCTGCCTAAGTATAGTACCTTACAATTTCCCCTTGTTAAAGGCCTTACTGAAATCAAGATATACTACATCCACAGCATTCCCTTCATCTACCAAGCTTGCGACTCTATAAAAAAAGATATAAGATTAGTCTGGCATGACTTGTTTCTGAGAAACCTATGCTGACTTTTAGTGATCACAGCATTCCTTTCTAAAGGCCTTTGCAGACCTCCAGAAATAGTGCACATTGAGTCTACTTTAAGGGTTAGGGTTAGTGCTAGGGAATCATGGGAACTATTTTTTTCTGAGACATTGAGCCTTCTCTGTCAGAGAGCTCTGGGGCCACAATAAAATACAGTTCCCATGATTCCCTAACCCTAACCCTTAAAGTGGACTCAATTTGCACTATTTCTGGCAGTCTGCAAAGGCCCTAAGTCCTTACAGACTCTCTGTTTCATGATCTGCTCTAAAATCTTTCCTGGTAGTGATGTCAATCTGACTGGGTTGTGGTGCCAAACTGCATTAATTCTGCAGTGTAGATGCAGCTCAACCAGCTTGTTAACCTGCAGTAACCTAGCAAAGTGCATAACCTGACACCCAGAACACACAGCTTCTGGGTCTATGGGGGGTTGCAGACTGCAAGAAATAGTGCAAATTGAGTCCACTTTTAGGGTTAGGGTTAGTGCTAGGGAATCATGGGAATTTTTTTTTTCCTGAGACATTGAGCCTTCTCTGTCAGAGAGCTCTGGTGCCACAATAAAATACAGTTCCCATGATTCCCTAACCCTAACCCTAAAAGTGGACTCAATTTGCACTATTTCTGGCAACCCACGTATGCCTCCCAGGTTGAGCAAAAACCTATTTGTTTTTTGGTCTGTAGTGATGCTGCAGTTTATCAACAACAACAGGAATCTGTTTCTATTCTTTGTATATTATTGTTCTTCTAGTACCAAATTTTCTGTCAAGGAAGTAATGTCCAGGAAGACGACAACAACAACAATTATTATTATTATTATTATTATTATTATTATTATTATTATTATTATTATCCCACCCCTCTGCGTAATGCAACCTGGCCAGTATACAACTTTAAAATATACATTCATATCCCATAATCCCACCCCCCTTAAATTACAATTAAATAATGACAATTTAAAACACATTTAAAATAATAATGCAAATAAACAAATAAACAAATAACAACTGCTTGGTTAACTGAGATATACTTTTATTGTTACTGAATGTCCTACCTGTAAACCTTTCCTGGAGAGAGCAGTGTTGCAATCCCTGTTGCTTCATGCTCTGTCCCATTTTTTCACCACTGTCACCTGATTCCAGAGTTTGGAAAAGTTCCTTCTTTGGACTACAGTTCCCAGAATCATCCCATAGAATCATAGAGTTGGAAAGGCCATCCAAGGGCCACCCAGTCCAAGCCTATTCTGCCATGCAGGAAGACACAATCAAGGAAACCCTGACAGATATCCATCCAGCCTCTGTTTAAAAACCTCTAAGCAAGGAGGATCCACCACTCTCCAAGATATCATCTTCCACCATCAAACAGCTCTTACTTTCTGGAAGTCTTTCCTAATGTTGAGGTGGAACCTCTTTTCCTGTAGTTTGCATCTATTGTTTTGTATCCTAGTCTCTGGAGCAGCAGAAAACAAGCTTGCTCCATCTTCAACATGACATCCCTTCTGATATTTAAACAGGGTCACCTCTTAGCCTCCTGTTCCCCAGGCTTAAACATACCCAGCTCCCTAAGATACTCCTCATAGGGCATGATGCTACTCCTGCATTTCACCAGCACCTAGAATCATAGAATCATAGAGTTGGAAGAGGCCACAAGGGCCATCCAGTCCAACCCCATTCTGCCATGCAGGAACTCCCAATCAAAGCATCCCTGACAGATGGCCATCCAGCCTCATTTAAAGACCTCCAAGGAAGGAGACTCCACTACTCTCCGAGGAAGGAGTGTGTTCCACTGTCGAACCGCCCTTACTGTCAGGAAGTTCCTCCTAATGTTGAGGTGGAATCTCTTTTCCTGGAGCTTGCACCCATTGTTCTGGGTCCTAGTCTCTGGAGCAGCAGAAAACAAGTTTGTTCCCTCCTCAATATGACCTCCCTTCAGATATTTAAACCTCGCCCTTCCCAGATGTGTTTGTTGGATTACATCTTGACCTGCTGGCTGGAACTGATGAGAACCAGAGTCTCCAAAAAATCTGGTTTGTGGCACCTGGCTGACGTTTACTGGGACAGTGCATCTGCTCTGGCTTAGGGTTGCCATATCCCAATTTTTGACAGGACATTCCCATTTTTTAAGGGTCTTTGGGATGTCCCGCCCGGTTTTGGGATCATGTCCCAGCCAGCAAGGGCAAGGCCTCCCTTGGCCAAGCCATGAAGTGAGATCACAAAGAGGTCCAGGGCATCCTAGCCTTCCCCGGCCTCAACGCTGCCGCTGCCACTGCTTTCTTTGCCGGAGGAGGCCTCAGGGGCCATCGCGGCGTTGTGCAGCCTTTCTTCTTCTCCTTCCTCCATGAAGCCATGGCCTGGTGGCTTTACCTGGCCAGGTAAGGAAGGGGCTGGAGCAGGGGGTATCCCCCAGGACATATCCTCCATTTCAGACTTCTCTCCAGATCCAGGAAGGAGGGATGCCAACCCGTCTTCCCTTTGGAGCATGGCTTTGTGGTTGCGGTGTGCCTTCAAGTCCTTTCCAATTTAGGGTCACTCTCTGCTGGGGTTTTCTTGGCTAGATTGGTTTGGGGGGGGTTGCCATGACCTTCCCCTGAGGCTGAGAGAGTGTGACTGGCCCAAGGTCACCCAGTGGGTTTCCATAGCAGGGATTCAAACCCTGGTCTCTAGAGTCCCAGTCCAACACACAAACTATATTAATTTTGTGAAGTCGTAGGCTTTCATGGCCGGCATCCATAGTTTTTG